CTATCTGAAGTGTACCTGGCGTATAAGACGACCCCCCACTTGGAGGCATATTTTTCAGGGCCAAAAAATCGTCTTATACGCCGGCAAATACGGTAATTCTTTCCCTGACAGCGATAAAACTGGCTCGTTATCTATAATAAATTTACTTATTTGTTCAATATTATTATACAAATAAACTAATTACAGAATGATTAACCCATACTCTTATGAAAAACATATATTGTGTATAGTTCTTTCTGACTTTAGTCTTACAATATGCAGTCAAGATACTATCTTGCAAAGTTCCTTAGGTTAGTTCTTTTCTCCCCCAACACCTGACAGCAGTTATGTATTCATTTGTGATACAGTTAGGTTTGTCACTACTTGCATTCCGTTTTGGGCCCCTCCACTGGGTGGGCATGTAAAACATGGCTATGACTCTCAACGTGATACAAAAAGGCATCTGCCCCCTATTAACTCCTTTTCACCCTTTCCCCACCACTCCATGTAAGGAACCAATCTACTTCTGGTTTATCTTTCCCGTTTCTTCTGCATAAATGAGCAGACACACGTGTACTTTCTTACACCCTCGTTTACATGAAAAGTATATAACTACTTTCGCACTTAGCTTTCTTTCAGTTAACAGTATATCCTGGAATTCATTCTACACCAGTTCTCAGATTCCTTATTCTTTTTTAGCTGTGTAATACACCTCTGTATAGATGCATATGCTTTATTCAGCCACTCTCCTATGAATGGGCAGTTAGATCAATTTCAACATTTTGCTTTTATAAACAATGTTGCAATAACTAATATTGTGGGTGTGTATTGTTATATTGTTGAAGGTGTATTTTCAGCTTAGGTTCCCAGAAGTGGAGTTGCCGGGTCAAAAGGGCAAGGCAGTGTTGTCAGGTGGCCCCATGTCCCTGCAGGACTGCCCCATCCTGCACCCCCACCAACCATGTTAACAATCTCACTAACAGAGTGTGTTCTCGTACTTGAAACTTTTGGCCAGTCTGGTGGATGAGAAATGGTGTCTCAGTGTTGTTTTAACTGGTATTTCTCTAATCATGAGTGACTTTAAACTTCTTTTGTACGTTCCGGTGTCATTCTCACATCCTTTCTAGGGGGACGGGGTAAATTGTCCATGTTTCCCCGCCGTTTTTCTCTTGGAGTTCTGGTCCTTTGTCTCTATTATTAAGAGCTCTTATATATTAAGGATATTATCCTTTTCTCTAGTATATGCTGTGAAAAATTTCTCCCACTTTGTCAGCTGTCTTTTGACTTTTTACATGGTATTTTTTGTCATGCAAATTAAAAATGTTTTATGTAGCCAAATTTATCAACCTTTTCTTTTATTGCCTCTGGATTTTGAGTCATAGTTAGAAAGCTTTTCTATATGCCAAAGCAAAAGAAAAAAATTCACCCTTATTTTCTTCTAGAACTTGCATGGTTTTATTATTATTTTTTAATATTTAGATTCTTAATCCATTTGGAGCTTACTTTTTTTGGTATGGTGTAAGACACTGATTTAATTCCAAGTGGCTACCCAGGTGTCCCAGCAGCTTTTTAAAAAAGCCCGTCTTTATCCCAATGATTTGAGATGCCACCTTTATCTGGATTACTAATTTCCATAGACACCTGTAACTGTTTCTGGACTTTCTATTCTATCCCACAGTTCTACTTGTCTACTTGTGTGCCACTGCCATGCTGTTTGATTTAATTATAGAGGGTTTATATGATGTTTAATGGTAGAACTTGCCCCTCCTCATAGACTTCCTTTCTCAGTTTCTGGAGCTGTTCCTCCACGCTTGTTAGTCTATGAACTTGACAATCAACTTGTCTAACTGGTCTATGATAGGTTCTTGTACATTTCCTATTAATTTTATCCCTAAGTGCTTAATATTTCTGGTTGCTATTGTAAACCCTTTTTTTAATACCTCCATTGTGTCCTCTAACCTTTTATTGTTTGTGTATGTAAGAGCTATTGATTTTTGCATTTTAGTTTTATGTCCTGGTATCTTACTTACTTAACTCATTCTTATTACACCCTTATTTTAAAGCTGCGGTTTTTGGTACAATCTGATGACACCTATCATTTCACTCAGGAAAGGATTTTTGCAAGATGACTGCAAAAGAAGCCATATTCTTTCTAAAGCATTTACTAAGTGACAAAACCACAGTAAACACCTGAAACCTGCAGAATCATCTCTAACGATACTGAACCCCACTCTAATTCTTAGGGTTAGTCCAGCTCATTCAGAGTCTGATAAGTCTACAGAACCCATTTATAGCAGAAGAAACAGTACGTGTCTACAACCCAAAGATATCGGCGTCAACTTTCAGAACGAAAACGCAGATGAGTCAGACGTAATTTAGGAAGACTTCTTGGATACCAATGTGTGAAGCCCAACCAAGGGAGAAAGAGCACTTGTAAGGGTATCCACACTCCCTGTGACTTCAGACACTTAGTGTGATAACAGATGCTAACTTTATGGTTCCAAGTCGGCTTAGAATGTCACTGCCCACCCAAGCTTGGCTTCCCTGGACACAGTCAACCAATTCTGGGGTGCCTTACCAGACATCATTCAGAATGATGTCAGGCAAATTCATAAACTACCTGAGCCACACGGGTTTCTTCTAAGGTGCCATTTCAATGATTTCTGTATGGACCACGACAGAATGGGTTTTAATGTCCCTGCCAAGAGCACAGGTTTTAGATTATTACCACAGGGACAAACTAACACGAGATCAAGATGGTCAGAATCTTGAATGATACAGTGTAAAAGAGATAGAGGGGGATAAATGACTCTTTCTGAGAAGGGTTTGAAACTTGAGACACTACAGCTTAAACAGAGCCGAACAATCACCTTTCCAGTGAAAGCAGACTGTCGCAGCTGCAGGGTAACAGAGGCTCACAGAGGGGACAGAAGCCACGCGCTTCCCTTCAGGGCACACTGGTACCAACGAGGAGAGTCATTCCAGCATGAAGACCAGGCAAACTGCACACAGGGCCTGCCAGTCAACCTGAGAACGTCAAGCCTCCTTTTTTAGAGAAAAGCTTAGTGTGAACACGTTTTTCCTTATCAGTGCCAGGAAATGACCACAGTAGCTGGGGGTGCTTTAATGTTGTCCAGTGACCTTCAAAGATCACACCCCAATTTCCACTCATCATTGTGCCTCACGCACCATGGGGGCTGTCAGGGGTGGTAAGAACGCGTGATCACCACAAGTTTAAGATCCAGGCGGGGCTCTCAAACCAAAGTCAGCCAGGAGTCTGTGCCTACACCAACAGCCTGGAGGACGGATTTTCTCTGAAAGTTTATTTCCTCCACACTGGAAAGAAGCAGCTTGAAAGTTCAAGTAACACGGCTCTCTGCTCAAAAGTCTTAAAGGGAAAGAAAATCTGCAAAGAATATCATCAGCACTAACTACAGACAATTTAAAAAACAGAATGGATTTTCTTCTCTACAGCTCCCAGAGTTTCAAAACCAGTGACCATATAGATGATCAATTCTGGTCTGGAAACCCCAAAAATTCAAAGACAAAGAACTCACTGGCAGAAGGTAATAGGGGAATAGAAGAGGGAAAATATCAATCATTATTTTATTTAACCCAATTTATCCTGTCTACACAGACACCCACTGGAGTTAGCGGGATATCAGCCCCACAGGAGGCTCTCCCACCAGAAAACGTCAGTGTACTGAAAAGCCACGGGAAGGGCTGTTTACAGGGGTGATAGGGGGTGCGGGTGAGGGTGAGCTCTGCACAGAAGGAAAAGCGAGAAAACACCCCAAGTTCTCTGATGTACTTAAATCTAGTCAACAGTCGCTCCTAGTGCCAGCAGTAAAAACCCCATTTACACTTCTCTTCTCAGGGACGACACCACATTTCTAGGAGGAATACAACGAAGGGAATCCATAAAGAAAAAAGGACTTGTATTTATTTTAGTGTGCGTTGGGGGACTTCCAGTTTTGCTGACTGGTGTCTAACATAATTTCTTTAGAAAGCACTAGAAAGAACAGCTGAGTAACGTACTTGGAGATGATTAAGGCAGGAAAGCACAAGAGACACAGGCATACCTCACGTCGTTTTTTGTTTGGAAAGGAACAATTAGATTACACTAAGATTCGATCTATGGAGTCAGCCAAAGGGGATCGCTCCCAAGTGGGTGGTATGGAGTTAGCTTTCTAAATACATTTTTCTTAAGAAATGCCGTTTCTCTAGGTCCTTTTCCCAAGGTGAAATAAGGACAGACCTAATCCGTTCATCTGGGTTTTCACCCAACTCTGGGTTCTTGGTCAGGCCTTTAATCCAATCCAAGACCTTCTCACTCCCTTCCTAGAAAATTCTTGTCCCTCTTTCCTGAACGCCTTCTCTGGTCGTCTAGTCTTCTGCCCCCTCCCGCCGCTCCTGCTCCCCTTTCTTTCACCCCACTAGGCAGAAACATCATCTATTTAAAACTTGGCTCAGAGGGGAAGACCCAGCGGAGCGCACGGAGGATGAAGGATGAGACATACACGCTAGTTAGTGGGGCTCGGATGTGCTCGGGACGTGACACCTGGCAGTGCTCTGACAGTCAGGGGAGCGGCCGGCAGGAAGAAGTGTGAACAGGAGGAAGCGGGTGCTGAGCAGAGCTCTGGAGAAGCCTCTTTTCTTTGGGGGTTGGGAAACACCACAAAACCACAGCTGAAAGGAAAAAGAAAACTCCACCACTGGCCTTTTTCCGAGCGTGGCCGCCTTCTGCCCGGCTCAGTGCCCGCCACATGCCCAGGAGTGCGTCTGGATCCTTGAGGGGCTCCCTTCGCAGGTGACAGTGCTTATGCTATACTGTAAGAGAGCCAGAAAAGTGCCCATGAGAACCAGAAAGCAGACTTCCAGCCGGCAGGGTTATCTCTCTAGGCCTCTAAGATGGGGGGGTGGGGGGGGTCGGTCAATACAGACTCTGGGCAGCACCTGAATGCCAAGAAAAGGGGGAGGTAACTCCCCATCCCCAGCTCAATTAACGGTGGTGGAAGGAAAGAAAAACATGTATTTTCTGTGACACATGCTGGGAGCAAGACAGAAAAGACTAAGTCAAAGTGAAAAAAGGGAAAACGCCTCCATTTCTAACAGACAAGAGGAAATTACTAAAAGAAGAAAGTGCCCTAGGGTCTAAACCAGCCACACAGGAAAGCAGGTGCTACGCTGGCCTGGAGAACGAAAGAACTCACTCCAACACTTGGTGATGCTGCTTTTAGAGGAAAGTAGAGAGAAGGAGGAAAAAAACTCCCCTCTAAGATATAAATCAGCAAGGCATTAATACACCAAACATCAAGCACTGACATTCTCAGAAGTCATCATCTTGTAAGTCAGACAAAAAGGAGTTGATGAAGCTGAGAAGAGAACAGACTTTGATGCAAGAGATCCTCAGCAGTTCTTAACCTTTCCAGTTTTTTAAATCACTATGTTAATAAAATGCCTGACATGACCCTGCCTATTAATAAACGAAATTAGAAAAATGCTCTCACAGAAAAAGCCCTTTATTTTTGCTCTATTGAGGCAGAACAACATTCCTGTAAATGCTGCTGACGAAATTCAAAATCTCAACCCTAAGAAAGGGGAAAGGTACCAAGTACCTGCTGGGATGCCAGGTAACGCAGGAATTCCCAACTTGCAAGCACCGGGCTTCTCAGCTCAGGATGGGAACACTGTCTGCAGATGGCAGTGGCACCGGCGCCTTCTCTACTTAACCCTGTTAATATTCAGAAGTGTTTGCTGGTGTCCTCAAGTACCACCTGACTAGCGAGAACGGCACACACAGGACACAGCGGAGTCGTTCCAGGACACCAGGCTGAGGAAGCGCCTTTCCGGATCCTTGGAAACTGACCCACGAGTCAGGCGAGTCTCTCCCATTATATGCACCCCTGGCTTCAGAGCACGGGGAGTCCGGTAACTGATTACAGGCCACTTATTGCTTGAAAAACATCAGCTGGCAGACACAACGACCAGGATGTACTTTGGGCTCCAGCAACCTCAATTTTCTAAGATAATTGCTTCTTAAAACCTAGCCGGGAATCTGGTCAGAGCATGTCAACCTTTCTCGTCTGTCCACCTAACAGCGAGTTGACAACTGACGGGTGTCCTTTTGCCCCAAATTACATGAGAGATTCTCCCACTTGATTTTGAGGATGAGGGACCATCACCTGGCAGCTGAGGAAGGCGGCACACCTGCTCCTCAGAATGAACAGACCGGTTAGTCGCGGGCATCAGTTGGTACCAGCGGCCCACGTGTGGCAATAAGAAACGGCCCCCAAAGGCTGGTTATCTGAAGGCGCGGAGGAACTAGGGATGACCTTGAGCCCATGGCACCAAAAGAAGGATGAAAAGGTTACCAGGACACACGTTACAGGACGCACCAACTCCCCGACTTCTCATTCACTTCAAGCGCCAAGGAACGTCAAGTTCCTAGGACCAGAAAGCAAGGTCTTTCCCCGGAAAATGCGGAGCAGTGCCGAAGGAGCAGAGAGCTGCGTGTTCGCTCCCTCGAAAGCCCGGCGTCTCACCGTGGCCTGCAGGCCTGCCGGCGTCCTCGGCCAGGCAGCACTGCTAAACGCTGGCCCGGAGGCCAGGGGCCGTGTCTTCGCGAAAAGGGGGACAATGGCTACCGAGCACGCGAAGGAAACACCTGCGCTTCGACAGAACATAGCACAGGGGGGACTCTGGCCCCAAAGGCAAACCCTAACTTGGTGACGGCCACCGGAGGAGGAGAAGGTGCTGTGTGTGACGAGGATCGCCGCCCCCACACGGCCAAGGGGCGAACTCCTAGGCTTTTAACATAAACGCGAGGACTCGCAGGATTTAAAAACACAGCCCCGAGGCCGCTGTGCGCTGAACTCTAGACCCGGGCACCACGTCCCGCCTGGGGGCCCCCGCCTTCCCCCGACCACCGGGGTCACGCTGTCGCGACGCGGCCTCCGAGCCCCGGGCGTGCCCGCAGCGCACGGCCGTCAGTTATGGGCCGGGCGTGCGCGCGCGTGTGTGAATCCATCCCCACCAGCGGCGGCACCAAACGGGAAACTGCACTTCGTGCACCAAAGCTTCAGCAAGTGCGCGACTGGCGCTTCAAGACCTCGGGACGTTCGCAGCGGGCTCTGCCTCGATGGGACCAGGGCCGCGGCGGGCGAGCCAGGCGCCGGAGCCCGCGCGGGGCTGCGGCTGGAGTTCACGCCCCAGCGAGGGCGGCCGTTCCCGGGAAGCCCGGGCGCGGAGCCCCCCGGGGAGGCGTCTGCCCCCGACTGGACCCGACCCGCGCGGCACCAGGCGCTCGAGGCGCTCAGCTTCCTTGCCGGGCGTCCCGCTCGTCCTCCGTCACAGCCCGGGGAGGCGGAGGCACCGACGGGAAGCCGGGGCTCCCGGGGGACACAGCCCCTCACACCTGCCCCGCGGGGCCGTCCCAGTGACAATCACAGCGCGGCCTGGAGGCGGGCTCCCGAGTCTCCACGGCTCTCCCGTGTCGTGGGGAGCAGGGACCCCGATTCCAGGCACACTGGGTTACGTTTTGTCCAGGAAACGTCCCAAGCCCGGCAGGAGCGCCCGGCGAGGCCGGCAGAGGGGCCGG